GTAATCCACGTGACCTGTGTAATATTGGCTGCATATCTTAATATGTAGTGGTAGCTTGGATAATTTTGTGAGTTTCTGCATTTTCTTTAACCATTCTTTGCTGCCTTTATATTTTTCGAAACAGTTCTTTTAATTTATGGCTATCTATCTATTGTTCTATAATAAACAAATCAAAATAACCACTACTTTCAGCATTCATTTCAATCTATGGCTACACTAAAAATTATTTTAAATAAAAGGACAGAAAGTTAGACTTTTTTATATTTAAAATATTTTTTTTTAATTATTAAAATATATCTAAATATATTTTAAACGGCTTTTAGGAACTTTCATCGCGTTGTAATACCAATCTGTGATATTGGTTGCATACTTTGTCGTGTACGATAATAATTAATTAACACACTGTATATTATTACTAAACTAGAACTAACACTAAAATTAGAAACATTTTCTGCATTAAATTATTAAAATTGCATGATGTTTCATGGATACATAAAAAATTTCTTTGTAAACAAAATTAATAATGCATCAAAATAAAATTGAATAGGAAATATATCACAATGTCATTTTAAACCACATTATTGAACGATGGCACCTCGAAGACTATTCGGTTTAATAAGAATAACAAAATATTATTGCATCACCCCTAATTACAACAACAACACTCAAAAATTTAACAACACGGTATCATGGAAAATAAAACAAACGTTCATGTTACTCTTCATTTGTGTATCGTACTTCGTCCAAGCTTATTATTTCGAAGAGTTTTACTCAAAAGAAATTCAACCGCACGAAAAACTAATAGGACACGCATTAACCGCAATTTTAGCGATTATTAATTTATTAACGGCGATTCAAGTTGCATTTACAAAAAGAAATCAATGGGAATTAACGATTAAAAAGATAAGTAAAATATTAGAAAAATTAAAAGGATTAATTGATGTTGAGGAAGTCGAATTTTCTTCGTATTTTTCTTACGCAGCGAAACATTTACTTTTAATAATAAACTTTGTTTTTTTCGTGATTACAACGGATAAAATTTATCTTGCGGTATTCGCTCAAAACGCGAATATTCGACTAATTTGGCTCGCCTTGGTTATGGACGATATCACGACGTTTTTAAAATATAGTTTTCGAAAAATCAACGAGATTATTACTCGGGAATTAGATACGGAAATAAAAATTGAAAATTTCAATATAATTTCGGTTAAAAAAGTCGACGATAAAAATTATTCGGATGTTTATAAGAAAACTAAAATTATACAAAAATTAACCGATGTTTACGCAGATTGTTGTGATGTTATTAACTTTTATAATGACTTATTCGGTTGGATTTTCGTTTTAATTTGCGTGTTTACTGTTATTAGCGTACTTCCTGGTTTAGAAACTATTATTTGGAAAATAATTCCTGGGAAATATAAACGCATAAACGATGTAATTTGGAGTATTGTCGCAGCAGCTTTTAAATTGGTAATAAGATTTAATGAAATTGAATCGATTTTTATTATTATTTTTTTTAGTCGGTTTGTTTAATAATAATTAAAAGTTGTCATGAAGCAACGGAAGAGGGGAATTTAATTAAAATAACTGCAACGAACGCTTTGCAATTACTACCTGGTTCGGATAAATACAATAATTTACAAAACGAATTAAACTTATTAGCGGATTTAAACGATTGTTGTGCGCCTGTATTTTCAGCAGCCGCTGTTTTTCCGATCGATAACTCTCTATTTTATATTTTATTCACGATGATCACTTCGTATTTAATTGTTTTGATACAATTTTTAGAATCGCCTAACCCTGCGATTGATAACAATTAATTTATTTATGTAATCTACACAAATAAGCACAATTGTATCACTAATTATATCAAAGTAGAAGTTAAAAACGCAAGTTTTATCTTAACTCTTACCTTATAACGCTTATAACACCAAAAGAGCCAACCGGCGAGAAGATAGCAACAAACCGCCCAGCAACAAACTTTTTCCTTTATATTTCCACCTACTTCTAGGGCCCATATCTTCGTTATCTAGAAAGATAGCGAAAAACTAAGCACACGGTTGGAAAGCTTGGTCTTTTCTCTATCTTAAATCGAGTTTTCGTCCGCCGATATGTTGATAATGAGAGCAAGAAAAAATAAGAAACATCCCGCTGCATTCAAATTACCTCAAAATTATCAAACTTCACGGCCTTGTGCAGCCATTACCAGATGGAAATTTAACAAATGGTTTACATATTCGGAAAGAGCTGACCTTGGACTATCTTATTCCGAGTTTTCGTCCGTCAATATCTGTCGACGTCTGTAAAGAAAACGCTGATGAAAAGGAGCCTACAGTTGACAACAAACTTTACTTTTGTATTTCCATCTATGTACTTTTCGGACGGATATCTTTGTTACTTATAACGCTAGCGAAAAACTAAGCACACGGTTGGAAAGCTTGGTTGTTTCCTATCTTAAACCGAGTTTTCGTCCGCCGATATGTTGATAATGAGAGCAAGAAAAAATAAGCACCGTCGCGCTGCCACGAATTTTTGCCGCGGCTAAACCACGCTTGGGTCAATAACTCCTTTATATGACGGGTAGAAAACTCTAGAACTATATTCATCTTATGGGAAATTTTCTGCTCTTTTCATCGGTATATAATACATCTCAATCACACGTTTGCACAATCGTTTTTAGCCCAGCAACAAACTTTCCCCTTGTATTTCCGTCTACTTTTTGGTCTAATATTTTCATTATCTAGAAAAATAGCGAAAAACTAATAACACGGTTGGAAAGTTTGGTCTTTTCATTTAAATCACCTCAAAATTGCCCCACTTTAAGGCCTTGTGCAGCCGTTATCAGAAGGAAATTCAACAAATTCTTATTTCTTAGTCTTATTTCGAGTTTTCATTTACAGACGCCGTCAATATCTGCCGGCGTCTGTAAAACAAACGCACCTGAAAGACAACCTACAAGTAGCAGAACGCAATCACTTCTTACCCTGACTTTCTTATTTGATGAAGGAAAACTTGGAACAAAATTTTACCCAAGAGAGAATCCTAACTTAATTTCATGTTAACAGATAATTTTTCGTTCAGTCTTAATTTATTTAAAACCGTTTAAAAACATATAAGTACGAAGGCTTTCACGGCCGGTGTTAATAAAACTAACACTAGCACTATCACTACAAGTAACACTAGACCTAGAACTAGAATCTTTCGGGTTGAGCCGTGCGTTTTTTGAACAAATGTTTGACGTTTCGGGTGCCATGTCACAACCTTCTTCAGAAAACTAGTTGGAACCCAGTCTAGTGTTAGTTCTACTGATAGTGCTAGTGTTAGTTCTAGTTTTAGTTCTAGTTTTAGTTTTACGTTTAGAAACATGTTAAACTGTTCAAACCGTGAAGATTATTTCATGTTACACCTATTTTATCAGAATCTGGAACAATTTGAGCAATTTTAGATTCAAATTGTTGAATTGTGTTTTGATGGTTTTTAACTCACAATCAGTTCAATTCTTATTCAATTTTCTCCTCGTCATACAAGGGAGTTATTGACCTAAGCGTGGTTTAGCCGCGGCAAAAATTCGTGGTTTAGGTAGTTCTTAGTTAGAAAAAAGGATTGTGCAAACGTGTGATCACGGCGTGTCACACATCGTTGGAAAGAGCAGAAAATTTCCCATAAGCTGAATATAGTTGTAGAGTTTTCCCCCGTCAAATAGGAAAGTTATTAGTGCAAGAAATACATGCGTGTTTTCATCGGTAGGGGCTTTTTCAGGTGCGTTTTCCTTACAGACGCTGATAGAAATTGGCGGACGAAAACTCGGAATAAGATAGTCCAAGGTCAGCTCTTTCCGAATATATAAACCATTTATTGAATTTCCATCTGGCAACGGCTGCACAAGGCTGTGAAGTTTGGTAATTTTGAGGTAAATTGAATACAGCGTGACGTTTCTTATTTTTTCTTGCTCTTATCATCAACATATCGGCGGACGAAAACTTGGTTTAAGATAGAGAAAAGACCAAGCTTTTCAAACGTGTTCTTAGTTTTCGCTATCTTTCTAGATAACCAAGATATTGGCCCGAAAAGTAGACGGAAATACAAGGGAAAAGTTTGTTGCTGGGCTGATAAACGATTGTGCAAACGTGTGATTGAGATGTGTTATATACCGATGAAAAGAGCAGAAAATTTCCCATAAAATGAACATAGTTCTGGAGTTTTCTCCCCGTCATATAAGAGAGTTATTACCCAAGTGTGGTTTAGCCGCGGCAAAAATCGTTGCAGCACGACGTTTCTTATTTTTTCTTGCTCTCATTATCAACATATCGGCGGACGAAAACTCGGTTTAAGATAGAAAAACGACCAAGCTTTCCAACCGTGTGCTTAGTTTTACGCTAGCGTTATAAATAACAAAGATATCCGTCCGAAAAGTACATAGATGGAAATACAAAAGTAAAGTTTGTTGCCAACTATAGGCTCCTTTTCAGGAGCGTTTTTTTGACAGACGCCGACAGATATTGACGGACGAAAACTCGGAATAAGATAGTCCAAGGTCAGCTCTTTCCGAATATGTAAACCATTTATTGAATTTCCGTCTAGTAACGGCTGCACAAGGCCGTGAAATTTGGTAATTTTGAGGTAAATTGAATGCAGCGCGACGTTTCTTATTTTTTCTTGCTCTTATTATCAACATATCGGCGGACGAAAACGCGGTTTAAGATAGAGAAAAGACAAAGCTTTCCAACCGTGTGCTTAGTTTTTCGCTATCTTTCTAGATAACGAAGATATGGGCCCTAGAAGTAGGTGGAAATATAAAGGAAAAAGTTTTTTGCTGGGCGGTTTGTTGCTATCGTCTCGCCGGTAAAGAACCGGTGACATTTCTTTTCTGATATTGACATATAATTAAATTTTTTATTCAGAAGTGCCAACCTAAGTTGGTGACATCAATAATCTCTAAAAATAATAATTGTAACAAAATTTACTCAAATTAAGAAACAATGATTTTATTAATTGTAAAAAATATAATCAAAATTGTATTACTAATTATGTCAAAGTAGAAGTTAAAGATGCAAGTTTTATCTTAAATCTTACCTTATAACCCCAAAAAAAGTCTATGACATTTCTTTTCTGACATTGACATATAATTAAATTTTTTATTCAGAAGTGCCAACCTAAGTTAGTGTCATCAATAATCTCTAAAAATAATAATTTTAATAAAATTTACTCTAAGAAACAATGATTTTAATAATTATAAAAAAAAATAATCAAAATTGTATTACTAATTATGTCAAAGTAGAAGTTAAAAACGCAAGTTTTATCTTAAATCTTACCTTATAACCCCAAAAAGAATCCTGATATTTCTTTTCTGACATTGACATGTAATTAAATTTTTTTTTCAGAAGTGCCAACCTAAGTTGGTGTCATCAATAATCTCTAAAAATAATAATTTTAATAAAATTTACTCAAATTAAGGAACAATGCTTTTAATAAGTATAAAATAAATAATCAAAATTGTCTTATTAACTGTGTCAAAGTAGAAGTTAAAGACGCAAGTTTTATCTTAAATCTTACCTTATAACCCCCAAAAAAATCCTATGACATTTCTTTTCTGATATTGACATATAATTAAATTTTTTATTCAGAAGTGCCAACCTAAGTTGGTGACATCAATAATCTCTAAAAATAATAATTTTAACAAAATTTACTCAAATTAAGAAACAGTGCTTTTAATAAATATAAAAAAAATAATCAAAATTGTATTACTAACTATGTCACAGTAGAAGTTAAAGATGCAAGTTTTATCTTAAATCTTACCTTATAACCCCAAAAAAAATCCTATGACATTTTTTTTCTGACATTGACATATAATTAAATTTTTTATTCAGAAGTGCCAACCTAAGTTGGTAACATCAATAATCTTTAAAAAATGACAATTTTAACAAAATTTACTCAAATCAAAGAACAATGCTTTTAATAATTATAAAAAAAAATAATCAAAATTGTATTAGTAACTATGTCAAAGTAGAAATTAAAAACGCAAGTTTTATCTTAAATCTTACCTTATAATCCCAAAAAAAAGCCTCTGACATTTCTTTTCTGACATTGACATATAATTAAATTTTTTATTCAGAAGTGCCAACCTAAGTTGGTGTTATCAATAATCTCTAAAAATAATAATTTTAACAAAATTTACTCAAATTAATATGAAATCCTCTAGTGTAGGATCTGTTGGGATTGGGTTGGACATGGTACGCTGATGTTGCCCACGTATTCTTGATGTGCTTACTACATGCTTAATTTCTGTCTTACTGAATCAGTGTTTCCAATGTCGTGGAGGCATGGACTTATAACTCCCATTCTTAAAACGAATCCGGTCACTACATATAAAGATTTAAGACCCATAGCAATACTGCCGGTACTATCAAAAGGTATTGGAGATTCTCATGGTTGAGCAATTGCAGCTTTATTTAGACACCCATTGTATTTTATCGCTTAAGCAATCTGGCTTTAGGAAACATTTTAGTTTTACTAGGGCGCTGCTGCCTGCTGGCCCTGCTGGACCTGACCGACATTTTTTGTGCATTGGATGTAGATAGCTCCAATGCACAACATAACCTTTTGACATACTTAATCATAGCCATTGTACATAAATGTTTACATAGTAGATCAGTCATTAAGCTTTTCAGATACGAGTCTAGGGGTTATCTTGGACAATCAATTAAACTTTGGTAATCACATCACAGTTTTGTGTGGTCTTTCTTATAGTGCTTTGAAGCACCTCTACTCGAATAGACAGATTTTATCTGACAGGCTCAAGCGTTTAATTTGTGATAGTTTAGTTTTATCTAATTTTAATTATTGTAGTGTTGTTTTAGTCCATGTCTATCTTTTGAATTTAAACGAAAGGTGCAGGTCGTTCAGAACTCTTAGAGAGAACACATCTCACCATTCTTATTGTCAAGTGGTTGGCTAACCATGGCAAAGTGATTTCTTACACATTACCTATGCCTAATTTGTAAAATTGTTCACACCGGTAAACGGATATACATAATATAAATTTAAGACATAGATTTACAATGACAATACCAATCCACCGATCTGCTAAGTTTTGTCATTTTTACTCATATCAAGTTGCAGAGTGGCTGCAAGGTGTGCTGGTTCGATCTCGTAGTTTAGATCGCTTATACCTCGTAACTCTCCGCATAGATACTGATTCTTTAAAGCTTATTCATTTAGGGGTTGGAAGAATATATTACTTAGTTGTTTTGCTACTCAGCATTCATAACATTGGATTGTATTACATTCTTTTTGTCACTGGTGTAAGTAAAACACCTTTTGAGCCGTATTTCTCTACAAATTTCTTAATGTAATTTATCATAGTTTACACGTCTATGCCTGAATTGCCTTTAGGCACTGTCGCTCTTGTAAGTTGAGGCTCACCCTTCGTCCAATCATCCCTGCTTTTAAATATGACCTTATACGGCTGATCGAAATTGTATGCTATCGGTATAAGGTCCGTTTTAATTTCAATCAAGTGGTTTAGACATGGGTCCTTGAGGATTTACGAGGTGTCCTCTGGGGTTGCCCTACATCAACTTGAATGAAGAAACTATTTATTAAAAAATTAAAATAAAACTAAAAATTTCGAGGTGTCCTTGAGGTTCAGTTTGACAGAGGCGATGTTCGTAAACAACTTAGCGTGTCTCATTCCAGGAGAATTGGTCCACAATAGGCGAAGTCTCTCTTCAGCCCACAGTCCAATCCTATGTTTGGCCATCACAAATGATACACCAACTGCTGACTCTGACCCCAATAATGCTTCATCGCTGCCCTCACGTGCTAGCTCATCTGCCACTTCATTGCTAGCAACCCCAGAACTTTGGATATCAACGGTGTCAACGTGATGTGAACTAGAAATTAATCTGCTATCAAGCATATTGTGGATCCAACCCGCTATAGTTGATTCCACTCTCCCGTCAAGAGCTCTTTCGATAGATTATGGTATTGCGTTGTTTGAATCATCTTCTATATCCAGAAACGCACAAACCAAGATCTCTTTACCCTGGAGCGTCCTGGATACTCTACCAACCAAGTTGTGTAAAGCCAATTCTACGGACTTTTTCGCTTAATAAGCGTACTGGTAGCGACTCAGTGGACCAGATATCAGTGATATGAATATACCCTTATAAGATACCCTTACCTTAATCCATTCTGCTGGTACATATTTCCAGGCGATTATTATTATTATTGCTGCCGGGCTGAGGGGAGCGGCCCCTCTCGTTATTGCGACCTATAAGATCTATTATAACTTTAGCCCTCCAAAGGTTTAAAGTAAATGTAGGTCCTTGATGAATCTTAGTATTGTCCTAAGGTCTTGAACCTTTATGTTGGTAGATGTCAAGAGAGTTTTACCGAAAATTTTGTGTCTTAGACGGCCTCTGGCGACGCAATTGCACAGTATATGTTCAGCTGTTTCGTTGCAAAGTCGACAAGTTTGATTCATAGCTTGTCCAATGTGGAAGAGGTGGTATTTTAGGGGTGCATGCCCGGTCAGGTAACCTGAGAGCGTCCTTAGATCCCATTGCTGAGGCATAAAACCTCTTTGGTTTTGTTTTGCGACGGAGTTATCATACTCTTCGCTTGTCTGTGACCTGGAAATTCTTTCCAGCGTAAGACCACCTTTGAGACCTCCCAATTGTTGATTATTTGTTTTAGATGACTTTTTTGTAGTCCACAGCCAGGTTGGGTTCGATGAAGGGCGTGTTCGCTGTCTCTTTGGCCAACTTGTCCGCCTTCTCATTGCCCTCAATGTTGCTGTGACCTGGAACCTACCATAGGGTAACATCATTGCCCCTAGCGAGTTCTTTCAGGTTGCTGGTACACTCTCTGATCAGTGCGGAGTCACATGTCTAGGCCTGAATTGCCTTTAAGGCGGCCCGAGTGTTTGTGAAAATGTTTATGGATGCACCTTTCTGTCCCTTCTGTAGGTTCAAAGCGGTGCAGAAGTTTATAACAAGAACGTCTGCTTGGAAAATTGTTATGTCCGAGCTGAGGGGCAGTTTAATGTGGCTGTTTGGTCCACTGATGCTCATACCTACTCCAAATCTAACTGTCTTTGAAGCATCAGTGTATCAGGCTAGGGCTCCTCTTTTTAGACCCTTCGCCCAATCATCCCTGCTTCTAAATATGACCTTATACGGCTGGTTGAAATTGTATTCTGTCGGTATAAGGTCCATTTTAATTTCAATTAGGTGATTTAGACATGGGTCCTTGAGGATTTTGAGGTGTCCTCTGGGGTTGCCCTACATCAACTTGAATGAAGAAACTATTTTCAGTGATAAGGCACTTGAAGCTGCCTTTTTTGTATATATAAATGGAGCGGTGTGAGACCGAGTAGGGCTTCCAAAGCAGCCGTCGGACAGGATCTCATTGCACCCGTTATGTTAAGACATGCTAACCGCTGGATTTGTGCCAGTTGTTATTGCGCTGTCTTATGTTGTGTTTTTGGCCACCAAACCAATGAGGCGTAGGCGACCATGGATCAGTTCCTTCCTAGGAGCCTGCGGCAGATCTGGTTTGCCATGATGGCCTTTTTCCTCACCTTATCTAAGTGTGAGTTCCAGTTTAGTTTAAAGTAACTATTTAACTTCTGTTTTGAGATTAATAGTTCTGCTTTGGGAGGGTGATTTTATTTGGATTGATGCTGAGCCCACTGCTTCTACACCAAGTACTGGTGAGTAGTAGGGCTTTCTGCATTAGTTAAGTTATGATTGTATCATATTTACCTCGAATTGTGATTATCAGGTCATCAACATACCCCTGAATCTTGAATCCGTTTTTTGTTAGGCTGTTCATCAAGTCATCAACTACCAGGCACCCAAGGTCCGTAAAGCACATTGTACCAGGTTGGCCAGAGACAGTAGAACGCGTTTTGAAGGGAAAGGAGAGGGGTGACGTCACGAGTTACGAAGCAGTGAGAGCTAGAGACTGAAACGAAGTAATTTATCTCAAAACTACTTTTTCTAATTAAACGCTTTGATAAAAGTTATGTATTTTCTCTTTTTATTATTTAATTATATAATTTATATACTTTAATAGAATACTTTTCTCTTAAAACGTCAGCGTCTGTAACACGTGACGTCACAATTAGGGCATGTTAGGGGGTTCACTTCTCATACTTTGAAATCCTTCGTCTGGCCAACCTTGTATAATACGCTTTACGGACCTTGCAGGTGCCATAGTAGAGCTGATAGCACTCCCCCTTGGGGACATCCTCTTAGCGCCTTTATAGTCTACGACTCGCCTCCCAGACTGTATGTATATCTTTTACGTTTAGAGCCTTCTCTATGGATTCATAGGAGGTGTTATCAAACGCACCCTCTATGTCTATGAAAGCACATAGGGCTATCTCTTTGGTTGCAATTGCCTCCTCTAAAGTGCTATTCAAAGCATGGAGAGCAGTAATTGTTGATTTTGCTTTCTGGTAAGCATCTTAGTTAGGGTGGAATGGTTTAGTGACAAGCACTTAATTCCTAAGGTATTGATTGATTACCTTTTCCATCCCTTTGAGGAGAAATGAAGTTAGGCTAATTGGTCTGTATGCCTTGGGGCCTACCATCTTTATCTACACTATGGATGAAAGTAAAAGTGAAGACCACTTTTACTTTCATCCATAGTGTGGGTATATAGCTAAGGCTGTAGCTGGCTATATATAAGAATTCTATCTCCTCCAGCCGATTTTAGGGGTTTCAAATTAGAAATAGCCCACCTTACTCTGTTGCGTGTAAAAATGAACCCTACCTGATGGACGGGTTACGTCCTTTACTTCAGACATCAGTGTGGGGGCAGACTTTTGAGGAAGGGAAGTGTGTTTCCAGACGATACCCGTTCTGAAAATTTTTACCAAAATAGGCAATAGTATGTGTATTTGAGAGGCGCTTTGCCATGCAGAAATAGCCTGCTTTAACATTATTAGTCCCCATCATCAAGCTTCTTAGTAAAATAGCATTAATTAAAGCTTAGACTAGCTTCACACTTGATTTAACAAATTTCGTCCAAAATCTTGTTACAGAAATTCAAGATCTTCGTGTTAACTAACATCACGTTCTAATCTCGGATAATTTCATTTCACTCGCAAATTTCAACTTCCTACAAACAGATAAGATTTAATTAATGTCTAAACGATTTAAAATTAATCACTTATTAAGTATTTCGTTAAATCTCGAAAATTTAAAACCGTCAAAAAAGTTGGGTTATGTTTTCGTTACTAACTTCATTGATTACTTATTTCGTCGAACTTAAAATCGCAATATTTATATAATATTATGTTAAATTTAACAATATTTAATCTTTTTATATCAAAAAAAAGTTATTTTGATTTATTTTCGCTTCAATTAAATTATTTTTCGATAATTTAAAAAAAATGTGTTGTGTCATTAAATGACATTTCGAATTTAAATTTAAAATTACCAACCTAAAACGTTTTATATAAAATATCGTTTATTTTGAAAGAAAAATACATCATTATAAAGTTAATAAAAAATCACTTATTCAAAAATTGTAATAAACCATATTGAATCAGCTTTAAATCCTTTAAATCATTATTAATAACATTTATAAGATAGGCAATTCCATTTTGTTCCATTTGTAAGAATTGTTTAACATCATCTTGAACTTTCGGTTCCATTTTATAACGTTCGTTATTGCTACAACAAGCTTGTTCGGTACTTAACAACTTTACAGAACTAATTAATTCGTTTAATTGACCCTAAAAAAATCGTTTAGCAACACTTAATTTGACATTTAATATTAATAATTTACTTTAAATTGTGTTGGAATACTAAGTTGTGAATGCATTATTTCTAATCGACTTCTTAAAGCCTCTTCTTCCGGTTGTAACGCCATCCCGGCTTTTCTACTTACTTCTTGTTTAACTAAAATCTAAATTCAAAATTAATTTGGGTTAAAAATAATAATTTTTTTTTGTTACTTTTAAAACTCTATGTTGAAGTTGTAAAAATTTCTGTTTATACTCATTAATATGAGCCAAAGAAGCGGCTTGTTTCTTTTTTAACTCATTAATATCGTTAGAAACCTTTTCCAAAAACGCCCGGTGAAGTCCCGTTTCGTATTCTTCGCACAACAATCGCTTTTTTAAATCGTAAAATCCGTTTATTGGTGTCGGAAGGTATTTTTGGGGATGTGGGTTGTCGATTTGAGCGGCTTGCCACATTTGATTATCGATACCCGGCGGAGGTATTTTTAAATATTCCTCTAATTGCGATTTAGTCGGAGTCATGTAAGGCCCGATATAAGTCACCCCAACTGTGGAAAGTTGCTGTTTTTGAGTTGGTTGGTTCAAAAACGACGCTAAATCGGAGGCGTGTATTTTCCGATTCGTTCCGGTTACCCCCTTTTCTAAAACGCTGATCATAACCTCACATTCCGAGTCGGCTAAGTCTTTTATATGTTCTATTGTTAGTGTTAAATTGGGTTTGTTTCCTAAAATACCGTTTATTCCGTTTATTAAGGTGTCCTTCATTGCACTAAAATTAATTATTCCATTATTACATAAAGTGTGTTAATTAATTATTATCGTACCTGACAAAGTATGCAACCAATATCGCTAATCGTGTATTGTAATATCTGTACTGTGATATTGGTTGCATACTTGCAATGATGACGTCGGGTACGATAATGGACTGCCTGAGTCTGACGTCACAGAGATGGGCGGAGCTTATACTGACTCCAAACAATTTCGTTGCTAAGATAAATCGCCAAAAAATGTCATTTGAAATGTCATCACTTAGTTTATTTTATTTTAACACTAATCAAAAATTACATATATTATGGTGATTTACCGCTAGCACCATAATTAGCCACGAAAATGTTTGGAGTCGGTATAAGCTCCGCCCATCTCTATGACGTCAAGGTTTAGGTTGTCTATTGGACCTCGTTATACATCACTTAATAGAGATTTTCGTGCTATCTGGTAGGTAAACCTATAACCGGTATGGTACAACTATTGCCACGTTATCGGAATGGTAATCTGTACACCCTGTACAGTGTTTTGTACAGGGTGTCCCGTTAAGCGTACGGAGCGGCTGTATCTCGACAACAGTAAGGCCTATAGATTTGGGAAAAAAATCCTTATAAGCAAAGTGGGCAAGAGAAATAGCCGGAAATTATTTTGAAGTTCCTAATTCGACCGCTAGGGGGCGTAACTGCCATAGAGAAACATAAAATTCCCGCTATCTCAGAAAGATAGACGATGAGGTATAACTTAGTTAACATCATTTAGTAGCTTGGATAATACCGCATCGATTTTATTTTGAGATATTTCTCATATCTGTCATAATAAGGGAGGGGGAGGCCAATGCGTTTTCAAATGTTTACATTTTAATATCACCTGGACTATTCAACCGATTTGAATATATTTGGTCTTGTTTGAAAGAGCATTTCATGCTCTTTTAAACGATATTTTCAGTAAGACCGCTTGGTTTAAAACAAATAAGCTAGAGGGCGTTATCTGCAGCGGTTACATATTTTTTATGATTTTTGAAAAAAAGTTAAATGGAACGGTACTATTTACTTCACAGACCCTTAATCGCCTTAAAATTTGCTAAATTTTAGTGAAAACCGCATCTCGATATCGCCACCCGTTCTCGAATTATAGAAGAAAATGTTAAAAACTCGATAAAAAACATTAATACCAATAAAATAAATAATACCAATACCAATAATAAATAAATAAAATAAATATACCGATTTATATTAAACGATATTTAATCGTAAATCTAATTTTTTGAAAAAACCAACAAAAAAATGTCAAATGTCAAAATCGAATATTTATTAATGAAAAATTATCTTTAATTTTCTTAATAAGAAGTAAAAATCCGTTAATTTGACACCAAACATGACACATTTAGGACAAAAAACAAAAAAGTTAGGTTAGAAAATGTTAAATGTCAAATCTCCGCCATTTTGTTTGTTAAAAATTAAGATATCTCGATAACGACTAGAGATAAATATATCGAGTTTGGCTTTATATTTAATGATTTTTAATCGTCAATCTAATTTTTTGAAGAAACCAACAACTTTAGAACTAAAAAAATTGTCAAATGTCAAAATGAAATATTTTTTAATGAATTACCTTAATTTTTCATTTTTTTTTACATTATATTTTTGTTTTTGTGACAAATATTAAGATATTTTATAAAAATTAAGAATATGTCAAAATGACATTGACATTTCAAACCGGAAGTTGCTTATATCTCGAGTAATATTGGAAATAAACGTATCATGTTTGGACACATTTTAAAGGATTTTTCACGACGATTACAAATATGTCAAAATTGACGTTGACATTCTTAACCGGAAGTTGACCATAACTTCATTAATATTGAAGATA